CTAACACACAAACACAGACTGCACTAACACACACACACACACTGCACTAACACACAAACACACACACTGCACTAACACACACTGCACCACTAACACACAAACACACACTGCACGAACACACAAACATACTGCTCCCCTGCACAAACACACACTGCAGTAACACACACACACTGCACTAAAACACAAACATACTGCTCCCCTGCACTAACACACTACACACACAGCACCCCCTGCACTAACACACAAACACACTACACCCCCTGCACTAACCCACAAAAACACTGCATACACTCTATACCCCTGCATACACTCTATACCCCTACATACACACTACAGCCCCTGCATTAACACACAATACACACTCTATACCCCTATATCCACACTGCACCTCCTGCACTTACACACAAACACACTACACACACTCTATACCCCTTATATACACACTAGTCCCCTGGCACTCACATACACACACTAAACACACTCTATACACCATAAACCTACACTACACTACACTCCCTGCACTCTCATACGTTATACCCCTATTAACACACACATTACACCCCCTGCATGCACCCACACTAATTTATATCGCCTATAAATACATATTCTGCACCCCCTGTACACACTACACCACCTATGCATACATTATCCCCCCTATACACATGTGCTCTACAGCTCCTATATGCATAAACACACTAGAGCCCCTAGATACACTCACAAACACACAGTACAGCTCCTTACATGCACACACTCCACAGGCCCTATATAAATACACACACACAAACACACATACTTTACAACCCAGAGACACAAACACTACAGCCCCTAGCCACATGCAGTACGCCACAAACAGACCCCTTCACACACACAATTGCTCTACACACATGCAATGTCCAAACATAGACAACAACACAAGGAACATCCCCACACATGCACAACACTCTTTAACAGTCCGGTTCCTGTTTTGATCTCTGGTATCCCACTATTGAGGACACCAGAGACAAATCGCCAGCAAACGCAGCACAATCTCAACCCCCCTTGCCCCCTAGAAAAATCTCATGGCATTTATTTTAGCCAGGAGCACTGGATGCTCTGGAGGAGCATCACATTAACATACTCATTTGGTGGGGGGGAAGGTGGTGTGCGTGTCAATGGTGGTGACATGACATGCCCCCTTTCTGGCCCCGCCCCTAATAGTGGGCTGATCTGCCTTTAATTGCCCGGGCTGAATTTTTGTCCCAGCCCGGCCCTGGGTGTGACTGTTGAAAACTGTGTATTTGTACAGCTTTGAATCAGACGCTCTGTTGAAATCATGTGTGCTTCTGATTCACAAACTGTTGGTCCTTTGTCTTGTATGTTAAAAAATAAATAAAAAAAGTTCGAATACTCTGTGTAGCAGAGGATGGCCTGTCCTGGTGGCCGCATGGCCTCCATGTGGCAGTCTTGACCTAAATTTAGTGCAGCGTGTACATGTGGCTGTAACTAGTAGGCCGTTAGCCTTTGTATGTTGTTCTTTTATCTACCCCAACAGCTGTAAAGGTGGCAGAGGTGACTCTTTGGATTCATCACTCTATGGTTAAACGAGCGGCAAATTCCTGGCAACCTACTCCAGATCCTGAGAATCCTTCCAAGATCCGGTTGAAGCGGGTGACCCAGTCGAATTGAACTTGACTTGAGAAGTACGAGGTGATTTTTGAAGTATCGTGGTTGGAAACATCATCGGAGATCAGCAAGTAGGTGTCTTGATGGCCATAATAAAGCCTAACCACCTGCCTACTTGTCATAGTCAGAGTGTCTCAAAGGGACCTCTGTGAAGGTAAGTGAGGATCAGAAGGACAACAATCCTTGCAGCCCTCACAAGCGGGAAGCTGAGGTGCCGTCGCATGGTCAAAGAATAGGATGAGGACCTCAAGAATGATGTGTTTAGTTATATGTTTTAATATTTTTATAATTTTTCAGGAAGGTAAAGTTGAGGATATTCCAAGCTGTGTTAGTTGTATTAAAACTACAAAAACAGGTAACCAGATATCTCAGACCTTTATTTGGCACTCACAATACGAATGTAGAGGATCTGTGTCTAGGTGTAGGTACTTAGATACTGATTATAGTGTGTGTCATCCGATATCAGGTAAGCCTAAGTGTTTCGATCCCCAATTCTAACCTCGTACAATTTGGTTAGTAATTTGAAATACTCACTCTCAGGGGACATTGATAAATACGACTTTACTTAGTACCATACATTCCACGGGTATCCTATTATTTGATGCATGTAAGGCAATTTCGGGTAGTAGAAAACCTTGGAATGTATGCTGTAATCTTAAATGGGAACGAACTTATGGGTTCAATGATAAATATTTATGCCCTAGCAAAAGATCTACTGATCCTGATTGCCCAAATAGAGACTTCCACTTCTGCCCATATTGGTCATGTGTAGGTTGAGCGACCTCGGGAAAGATAGTAGACCAAGATATGATAATCCAAAGGTTGCCCACTACACCTTATTGTAAAACTATGGAGTGTAACCCCGTACATATGACCATTTCAAATCCACAGCATTTTATTGATAAGTTTGGGAATCTTTTTGGGTTTCAAATATATGGTACAGGAACAGACCCAGGAGCTATAATATATGTAGGCCTTGAAACCGAGACCATGAATGCTCAGACTCATCAGGTATTCCATTGCTTTTATGAGGAGATGAGTGTTGAGGGATAAAGTTCCCCATAATGTTAAGAACCTGTTCAGTCTTAATATAACTAACTGCTTTGTATGTGGAGGTACTAAAATGGGAGACCCATGGCCATGGGAGGTAAGAGAAGTATGGTACCCTGGTTCTGAGACAAATGAACAACAGATGTCTTCCCAATCTGACCATAAAGTGAGTATAAGAGAAAAATCAGAATGGCAGTTAAAGACATCTATCATATGCCATGTATATTTAGCTAGGAGAGGTCCAATGTATAGCACACCTGTTGGCTAGTTAACCTGTCTAGGACAGAAGGCTTATAATACTGATACTAAAGCTACTACTTGGTGGTCGGCTTCAAATGTCTCAGAACCTACTAATCCATTTGCTAATTACACCAATTTGAGAGAGGTATGGTTTGAGCTATCTGCTACATCTAATTGGAGAGCCCCAGCGAATTTGTATTGGATCTGTGGTAAGAAAGCATACTCAGCGTTACCACAAGATTGGGAGGGGGCATGTGTGCTAGGTATGCTCAAACCATCCTTCTTCTTGTTGTCAATTGAAACGGGAGAGACCTTGGGAGTTAAGGTTTATGATGTAAATCATAAAAAGAAGCGAGCATCATTGAATGTAGGTAATTGGGAAGATGATGAGTGGCCTCCTCAGCGTATTATTAATTATTATGGACCTGCCACCTAGGCTGAAGATGGCACTTATGGTTACCATACCCCCATATACATGCTCAACCGCATCATAAAGTTACAGGCGGTGGTTGAAATTATTACTAATGAGACAGCAGAAGCACTCAACCTCTTGGCAAAACAAAATACCCGTATGAGATCAGCCATTTACCAAAATAGGCTGGCTCTTGATTAAATGTTAGCTGTAGAAGGAGGTGTGTGTGGGTTTAACCTCAGTAATTATTGTCTACATATAGATGATGAGGGGCAGGCAGTGGTTGACCTTACCAGCCACATGGTTAAATTGTACCTACTCAGATTTGGAACAGGTATAATCCAAATAGTTGGTTTGGGAGTTGGTATGAGCAGCTTGGTGGGATTAAAACATTGGTAGGAGGAGTGGTATTTATTATTTTCCTATGCCTCTTCCTGCCTTGCCTAATCCCATTAGTAATCAAATCTATATGTAGCATTATTGAGAGCACTATAGAAAGGAAGACAGCAGCTCATGTAATGGCCATCTGGAAATATGAACCTTTAGCCAAGGGAGAGATTATTGATACTCAGGTTGATTAATGTTGAGAGGTAGCTAAGTAAGTTAGAATGCTCACATGGTCTGTGCTGGTTCGTGGTTACAAGAGTGTTGTCGGCAAATTATGATTAGTGATTCATCTGGAATAACTTTGTATCAGAAGCATCAAAGTGGGGGGAATGTGATGGGATTTCAACTAGGCCCAAAATTTAGTAGGCTGAAATCTCCATGTGGCTTATACAAATACAAGCATCTGTTGAATCTATTGTATCAAGTTACCAGGGCCGTCTTTAAGGAGGGGCAAAAGGGGCAGCTGCCCGGGCCCAGTTACTCCTGGGGGCCCTAAGGCAGCTGCCCCATGGGCCCTCTGCAGCACCTGAGGTAATCAGGGGCCACAGCCCTTTAATACTGCTCTGGACCGGGCCCTTGTAATATGGGGGTTGGCTGAATACAAACACACAGCTAGCCCCTCACACACTGCCCTGTGATCCCTTTTCTTCTCTGTGGCATGCTGGGAGGAAGTGAGGTCAGATCACTTCCTCCTCAGTGCCGCTGGGGAGGAGGCACACACCACACGGAGGAGGATGCAAGCATTGTTGGGGAGAGGGACTGAGAAAGCTGATGGCAGACTCCCATCAGCCTGGGCCAACAAGCTCCCACTGGACCCCAGGGAAGCCACCTTTCTGTACCCAAAAGGTAAGGAGACAGGAGGGTGGCTAAATATGTTTTGTTTTTTTGTTTTGCTTATTTCTGATATCACTTTTATTCAAGTGTTGGTGTTTGTAATGTAACACACAGGGAATAAGTACATGTTAAAAATCCTAGAAGAACCTGACAGTTCCCTATTAAATATAAATTTTAAAAGTATTTATTTTAACATATTATTGCATCAAGTGTTATCAAAGGCTGTACACCATTTCCAAATGTCACTTTTGCCAAATTCTGGACCAGGGTATGTAAGAACAGAGTTGAGACATTATTATGGCCAAGGTTGCTGGGAGTTGCTGTCCAAGAGCTGCTAGAAGGCAGAGATTAAAATATGTAAATGTACACATATATGTGTGTGTGTATCTGGCTTTGTTTATGTCCTTGTGTGTATCTGGCTGTGTTTGTGTCAGTGTTTGTATCTGGCTGTGTTTGTCTGTGTGTCAGTGTTTCTGTGTGTATGTATACCTGTGTATGTGTACTTGTGTGTCAGTGTGTATGTGTACCTGTGTGTGTGTTTGTGTGTGTGTGTGTGTATGTATGTGTCAGTGTGTGTAAGTGTGCATCTGAGTGTGTGGTAATGCATACATCCCAGCATTTTAATGCCAACACAAATACACTCCATCTCTAGCACTGTACACATATACACCCCTGCATTTATACCTTTATGTATGTGTGTATCTGAGTGTGTGTGTACATACCTGTGTCAGTGTGTGTGTGTACCTCTGTGTGTGGATGTGCCAGTGTGTGTGTGTATCAAAGTGCTTGTATCTGTGTGTCAAAGGGTGTGTATCTGAGTGTGTGTGTGTATGTGCCAGTATGTGTCAAGGTGTGAGCATGTGTCAGTGTGCCTATGTGTGTATCTGCGTGTTAATGTGTATGTGTATATGTGTTATAGAAATCACACAACATGCAAACAGAGCCCTGCAAACACAAACATTACATACAAACACACCAGTTTGCTGAAACACCAATACTACACACAAATGTACACAACACTACATCCAAACAACCCCCTGCATGCAAATACAAACATTACATACAAACACATTCCTGTATTAAAACGCTAAAATTATATACAAACACCAACTCTACACACAAAAGTACACCTGCATTTAAAAGCCAACACTACAGACAATCACACATTACTGCATTCAAACGCAAACACTACACACAAGTGAACCACTGCATTCCAATGGTAACAGTACATACAAATACACCCCTACATGCACACATACACTCTATACAATAACATGCTGACATTCAATTGCACAAACACTGCTCAAAAATACAACCCTGCAAGGATGGTAGATCCCCACCTGGCATAGCATCGCAGGAGTTGTATGGCAGATGGGGATCTATCTTTTGTTTACTCTTGTGCTACAGGGCAGGCCTGAATTATTATTTTTTTGCACCAAGGCACTCTCTACATTAGTTTTGCCTCTAGGTTGGGGTGGAGGGAGTGATTGCATGCCCAGGGGTCCCAAGCAGATGCTTGCCCAGGGTCCAATCAATATTAAAGACGGCCCTGCAAGTTACATGTAGTTAAGTGAGTCATCATTGTACTGAGCATGTGCAACAACTGTAACCACATTCCTTTGTCTTAAATGAGCCATGTGGTCTGCCCAAATAAGGTGAGCCTGAATATCCTGATCACTGATTGGTCTAAGGGTATGTGTGGGAGGAGTTATTGTTAATAAAAAGCATTTGCAATGTGAGCTCTGTCTCTGAGACATTTTGGACAGGAGTACAGCTAAGACCCGATCGGTGATAATAAAGACTTCTCCCCAGGCCCATGCCTCATGTTGGGTCTGCTTCTGCGTGCCACAGACTTGGGTATACATAGGAGCCGGGTCTTTCCCTGTATGGGCGCCACGGATGGCCCCAGTTTTTCGGCGCCAACAGCGGCGGGCGGGTTTCCGGCGAGGTGGCTGAAGCTTTGGAGGAAACCTTGTGACCTTCGGCCTGGGTGGGCAGACAGTGGTCATAGCGGGCATAGGGGGGCATGCTTTACCCGGGATCGGTCCGCTCCGTCTCCTCCACTCTCTCCATTGTTTTCACTCCTCCATGTGCAGGGGAGGCCCTGGCGAGGTGCCTCTCTAGTCGGTCCCAGAAGTGCTGGAAAATCAGGTCCAGGCTTGAAGGCTGAGGTTGTGTGGATGTAGGCCTCGATATTGCATCCGCCATATTGCTGGGCCCAGCACATTCGGGGCCCCAGCCAGAGTGGGCAGTCGCAGTCCATGCAGCTGTGTGTGCTGGATTGGTGGGGACCGGGATAACCTTCACCGGTCCATAGGGGGGAAACAGTGGCTCAAGCTTTGCCTTGCAGTACGTTGGGCGGCGGGAGAGTGGCCGTCTCTCCTGTGTCCACCATGCGTGTAGCCCTCAATGGCTGGGTGATCGGAACCGGAGCGTATTACCTCGGGAGTGGTACCAACGTGTAGGTCTCGGTGTCCCAGATCACTTAAGAGCCTAAAGAAGTCGGGTCACAGTTTCTGCTCAGCGGGAATCGGTTCTTTTTGCGGTAGAATGCAAGAGCAGCAGCAACATGTGTCTGCCCCGCTCTGCAATCAGGCCCCGTCCCCTCATGAAAAAGCTTCTTAGTGGTGGTCAGCCAACAGCCAAACGGTCGATAATGTATATCTTTGGCTGTTTTATGGCTCATCACTCAGAATGGAGCACCAAGTGTCTTATACAGTGTGTGATTGTTCAGGCACATAATAAACCAAAATAATTGATGATGGAAAGTTATATATAATGTTCACAAAAAATGTTTCACTGTATATATTAAAATTAGACACCAGGAAATAAAGCCATTCAACCAGCTACAAACAGAGTTCGGGATTGATAACAAGGAGATATTTATATATTTAAGAATCAAGTTTTATTTGGTGAAATTCTTGGATTTCCAGGTTAATAAAAACTCAAGTAATCTTAAAAAGATTCTGGAAACTCATAGAACTAAAGGCCATATTACTAGATGTTACGAGTTCTTAAAGGACTCTTAGAAGCCCTATGTCTGGAAATCTAAGATCAAGTGGGAAAAAGATCTACATATTGAAATTACTGAGCAAGATATGATAAGTGCGCTGGTTAAGGTCAATAAATTGGTACATTGTTTGAATATAGTAGAGAATTTTTATAAACTCCTAAACAGATGGTATATGGTCCCAGAAAAATTGGCTAAAGAATCATGAGATCAGAATCAGAATCATGTTCGTTGGAAATGTGATGATGGGAAAGGAGATTGGTGGCAATGTAAATCTTTAAGCAATACATGGAAGAATATCTATCAACAGATTTATAATACCTGACAGATATATACACCTTTCACACCACAGAGCTTTTTGTTACATCAGGGATGGCCCTCTATGCCTATTGAAAAAAGCATGTTAATAATATACATTTTAGTTCTAGCTAGGCATTGGAAAGGCAATAAAGTGTTAGAGTGGGCTGAAATTAAAAAATAAGTAACATACCGTATTTTCCAGCGTATAAGACGACTGGGCGTATAAGACGACCCCCAACTTTTCCAGTTAAAATATAGAGTTTGGGATATACTCGCCGTATAAGACTACCCCTCTTCCAATGCACACAAATTAAAATTAGCAATGATGTACAGTGAGCAGACAGAGCTACACAGCAAAACATTAAAGGACCACTATAGTGCCAGGAAAACATACTCGTTTTCCTGGCACTTTAGTGCCCTGAGGGTGCCCCCACCCTCAGGGTCCCCCTCCCGCCCGGCTTTGGGGAGAGGAAAGGGGTAAAAACTTACCTTTTTCCAGCGCTGGCAGGGAGCACTCCTCCTCCGATCCTCCTCCGTTCCTCCCATTCAGCTGAATGCGCACGCGCGGCAAGAGCTGCGCGCACATTCAGCCGGTCGCATAGGAAAGCATTTACAATGCTTTCCTATGGACGCTTGCGTGCTCTCACTGTGATTTTCACAGTGAGAATCACGCAAGCGCCTCTAGCGGCTGTCAATGAGACAGCCACTAGAGGAATTGGAGGAAGGATTAACCCATTTGTAAACATAGCAGTTTCTCTGAAATGGGTTAATCCTAGCTGGACCTGGCACCCAGACCACTTCATTAAGCTGAAGTGGTCTGGGTGCCTAGAGTGGTCCTTTAAATAATGATAATCTGAAATAGCATTTAAAGCCCCTCCATTCTTTTTAATCTCCCCCTCCATTCTTTTTTAATCCCCCCTCCATTCTTTTTTAATCCCCCCTCCATTCTTTTTTAATCCCCCTCCATTCTTTTTAATCCCCCCTCCATTCTTTTTAATCCCCCTCCATTTTTATTCATGCCCCCAATTGTTTTACACCCCATTCTTTTTAATCCCCCCATTTTTTTACTCCCCCCACCCCACCCTCCATTCTTTTTACTCCCCCACCCCCCCCCCACCCTCCATTCTTTTTACTCCCTCCCACCCTCATTTCTTTTTAGAAGCTTTTGAGTTGTTGTCACTGAACGATGTGTGAAATATAGAACTCAGTGTTCATTAGTGATTCCACAAGGGGTTAATGTTAATAGTTTTCAATTAAGGCAGAGCACCTTTATGTGAAACTAATGCTCAAACTGCGTGTAACTAACCATTAATAACCCTGTCCGACCTGTTTCCTATTTTCACTGTCTCACTGCTCACTCATTGACTAAATGCTTAATTTGCCTGACCAAATATGCTTCCCTAAGCGCATCACAGCAACATTAAATCTGATCCGCTTATTTCCCTCGAGTGTTGGATCATTTTTGTTGGTATCAAAGGACCCCACCGTGTTTATCTAAACTCTTCTTTTATATACTTTGAACAATCATGGCTACAGATAGAAAATATTATAGTTAAATTCTTTAAACAAATACACCCTTCCCAAAATGAAATGGTGTTTTTAATTCCCTTTCTTGAAAAGTGTGAGGTCAATCCTTTTAAAAACCAAAGCATTTTAATGGCACTGATATGTTAAAGCAGTTTGCTCTCCCAGGACCAAAGCAGATTAATCACAGAGATATGCTAAGTATGTTATAGTTGTTTGACTGATGCATTTTTTAACCAGATCAGACACCTAGAAATATTTTAAAATGCATGTTTCACAAAGTCTGTCTGTGTATGTGGCAAGTTGGCATTTCACAGTGAAGGGAATTCCTGCCCAGCTATTTTTATCAGATGTCAATGTGTTTGGAGAGAGATTGAGACCCCTCAAGACCCCTCAATGCCCCTTTCCTCAGTGTAAGTAACATGTTAAGATTAGATTTACAATCTTTGGAGACTTGTGAGTTAGAACAGATTGTAACACCCTTCCTTCTAAGTTCACATTAATAACTCAACAACTCATGAGGTGTCATCAACATTTTCATTTGAGATATTCAGCCTTTGCCTAGGTCAGAGTAGAAACAGAAGACTTCATTATCTGTTACAGTACTTGTATTATAGCAGTTCGCTTATACTGACAAAAATATAGTCTTTAGAACTGATCTAACACATATTGGTAGTAGGGAAGCAATATAGTAAGTGGTGTCATAGATAAGTATTTTGTGTACCAACAACAACACTAAGTAAATCCCGTCTCTCTTGGTTGTATGCTTTCTGCAGACAGAGCATGAAGCATTCCTTCCTGGCATCTGCTTCTTATTATGG